GTATGGAAGACTTATTAATGCTAATAAATTGGTAGGCGTTGAGCGTTTATTTGTGCATCAAGCGTTTGGGGATTTAAAAATTATTGTGTTTGACGTTAGTTACAGTTATTTTTATCTAAATTGATAGGGCATATAAAGTGCATCAACTGTAATTTTTGAGTTATAGCGGTGAAAGAGAATGCATGAAATCGTTTCGTCCCGTGGCGTCAGCATCGTAACAGGCCACTATGGAAATTTTCCAGAAAAAGCTTAGTCGGTATAACGGACTCGTTTACGTCTGACGTAAAATACTAAGACCAGCGACGGGCGTCAAAGCAGGAGCGTCAAAGACACGTTTGCTGCGATCGTCCGCCTACTATAACGAAAAAAGCAAATCCTGGTGACAACGAGAAAGAGCCGTGACCTAAATAGCATTTTTCGGGCCGATAAAAAAGTTATTATAATATTTCTTGACAACATGCAGAGACTGCAGGACCTAATTCCATATTTCATGACTATCTTAACCTCACAAAGTCAATGCAAGATGGGTGCCGCGAATGCTCAATGCGCTTGAAAAGCTGGCGCGGGTTGACTGTTGTAGGGAGTTTAATTTTAGAGCTGTGTGGTGACGACCCAACAAGTGTTTTAGATAGGATAGTTACAGGAGATAAAACGTGGATGACACTATGACTCCAAAAGTACCTAAACAGGAGTTTCATATTAGGTAATTATGTCATAAATGAGTAATAACGAGCGACATTACCAGTGCGTTTCCATCGGCTCTATGTTCATCATCAACAAAATAATAGGATTTTGATCCTAAATGAAAATTTAGATGTTTATAGAGCACAGTATTCATTTATCAGTATGAGGATATCAGCTCTGAGTTCTGCTTCTGCAGTGGACTGTCTGTTCATCTTTCACCCTTAGTTTATTCTAAAAAGCAATCAATTCAATAAAGGGGGACGCCCATTTGCCTGCTGTACTACTGTATGTCAAGGGTGTCACCCCAACCAGATAGACATACATCAGATTTGATAGACCACAAATCCTCGCGAAAGAACCTTAACTCCTACCAAGGATGATACGTGAGGCTATTGAAATTAAAAAAATCCTAATTTCAATAGAGAAGGCGGTTGGGTACTACCACCTGCTTGGGACACTATAATTAATAAAATTAAAACTAAATCCAAGCATACCACTGCAAGACTTAGAGATAAGAGAGAGTAAGTTCAATCTGCGTAGATTGGACTATAAAAATAATAATAAAAAGCTGAAGGTACTCCAAGTCCCAATACTGACATTGGGATGGCAGTCACCTCAGTCCCCCGTGAACATGGGTGCTATAAAGCACCTGAAACGTCGGGAATTAAAAGTTAAAGAAATTAAACGCAATAAAATTGGTAAAAGTAGTCGTTAAAAAACTGTATTTGTGAAAATAAAAACTTTTATATCATAAAAATCCCGACTTTTTTAAACCAATTCCTTAACCTTTTCATTATTTTAATTGCATATTATCATTTCCATATGCTTTTATATGTGCACCCATGGCCGAAGTGTCTATGAACAGTGGGCATTCCCCTTTGAAAGGCGCATGTGCAGTTGTGAACTAAAAAATCCAGGTATTTATGAAGAGTCCTGGCAGTCCAGTAGTAGTACTTTTGTCGAAGTAGAATGTAGTGGATACATTCGACCGAAATTCATAAAATATTTACGTTTGGTTACTAAGGAAACTTTATTTTCCCTTTTAACTGCACATTAGTACATAACACTTAGATTATTATATATATAAAATTAACGATTTTTGCTTTGAACTACACTCCACAGGTTATTAAAACAGGAACATTTGAAATCACAAAATTCATACCTTATTTATACTATTTTTTTATTAACTGCTTTACGGCTAGGGTTCTAGTCCTTCTGAGTTATTGATAGAATCAGGCGTTACTTTGCGGAAATCCATTATAATAAAAAATAAAAATATAAATTTCTTTGCAACTTTCCGCTAAACATATAAAATGATGTGTCTTACCTGGAATGAAGCGTACCTCCCGCCCTCCCTCAATTGCATACACTAACTCCGTCACCACTATACCAAGCACCACTACTCTCAACACCACTATTCCAGGCAAGACACACCATCGACGTTTTGTAAAAGGGACAACTCATCCGTTGGAAACTGGACATCGGAAAGATTTTTAACACGGGGATAAAATTGGTGATATTCAGTATGTATGTCGTTATTACGTTTACGGGATGAAGAAGATACAAGTCGTTTTAACTTATGGGATTGAATTTGATATTTCTCGTAAATGGCCATTGAAGCAAGTTCTCTGGCTTTCCCATCCAAAATATCAAATTCAATATTATGTAATTTATATGAAAGTTCAGAATATAATACTTTAAGGTGGGTTTTTAAGTTATCTCTATTGGAAAACCAACGACGACATTCCTCATTAAGCCAAATATTCTGAGCTTTGGAAATGGCAACACTGGCCGCTCGACTATGTGTGTTAGAACGTATTTGGATATAATTGGGAATAACATGAAGTTGTTTACACTGCTGATTAAACCAAACATTTTGAGCAGCAATACGATGTAGCTTTGTTAATTTAACATAGAGTCTTGCCTGTTCGGCCGTGCTAGCCTTTTTAAGATAATTGATAGAATCAGGCGTTACTTTGCGGAAATCCATTATAATAAAAAATAAAAATATAAATTTCTTTGCAACTTTCCGCTAAACATATAAAATGATGTGACTTAGCGGTCAGCCGCCGTAGAGTCTATATTACCTGATGATGCCTCGTGTAGAGGCGAAACACGTGTCGTATTATCGTCGATGGTGTGTCTTGCCTGGAATAGTGGTGTTGAGAGTAGTGGTGCTTGGTATAGTGGTGACGGAGTTAGTGTATGCAATTGAGGGAGGGCGGGAGGTACGCTTCATTCCAGGTAAGACACATCATTTTATATGTTTAGCGGAAAGTTGCAAAGAAATTTATACTTTTTATTTTTTACTTCTGAGTTATACTATATTCGACTGTTTGATTACAGAATGTTAAGAGTTTGACAGTCAATTATACTATATTCGACTGTTTGAACACAGAATATTAAGCGTTTGACATTGGCATTATGAACGTATACAACGAATATTTTATTTTACTTTATTTAATGTATTTGTAAAACATATTATAAATAAACTTTAGCTTTCTAGACTCCTTCTCTCACAATCCTCCGTGCGTGCAATAGGCATAAAAAGGGGTACGAAGTTTTCTATTATTAGGCAATACACAGATGATCACGATGATCAAGTGTTTAAGATCGAATATAATGGGCTCGTTTTGCACAACCTGAACTAGCAAATGAAATGCGGGCATGTAAATGTGGAGACAGCATCACTTGGGTGGCTTGCTGAAGTGGTCGGCATACACTTCACAACTAAACACCGGTAGCTCGCAAACAACTCACGACTCTACATCCCAAATTCTATCAACAAGAACTCTTCTCAAATATCTACAACGATTTAAAAGCGTATACATCCGTAATTTGAAAGTTGATCCGAATTTTAATAGGTAACGGTTCAATAAAATGACATATTACAGACATTTGTGTTTATCTTTACTTGTAAATATGTTGAAAGTTGAATTTTACGCAACAAAAGTTCAAATTACTTTAATTAAAAAAAATCATTCTACTCGTATGTTCGCAGTTTTGGATTTCTTTCAACATGCACCATTGAAAATATATTGGCAGTATTAAAAAAATCGACTAACTTCCTCTCATTTTTAGTAAGTAATACTAAAAACCTATTAAAAAAGAGGAATAGAAGAGTCTGCACAGGTTGTTCGAAGTAAAGACGACGGACGTAAAAGTTTTCTAAATATATAAGTATTATATGAATTAGTTTTCACTCATGTAAGTTTTCTGACAATGTTTTCCGTATAATCGTAGTACTATAAATGCGAAGCACTCGCCGAAAAGTTCACAGAACGCGAACTACGAGTACCTGTGTTCGATTCCCGCATGCATCATTGAAATTATGAATTGCAATTTCGCAGCGGACTAATAACTAACGTGTGTAGAATGTAACTTTAACTGTAACATTATAATTAACAATTTTAGCGATACTAAGAAATCGCCCTATTCTTATTTTATGAAATTATTTAAGACTGTTTTTAGTTATTAAAATATATTTATGTTAAGGTTTAACCTTTTATGTCATATTAATCTTTTTTTGTGTTTTTATAAAAAATACCTACCCAATTTCCATAACCCTTATTATGGCAATTGGGCAGTAGCAGTTTCAAATGCAAGTTACTTTTGTCGCTTACGTGTAATAGTATTTTTTTGTGTCGCAGGCCACCCACAGACTGCTCCCGGAAAGATGTCGTGTCAGTATTGTTGACTTATTGGCCCTTCACCACTTCTAAACTTTCCGCCTTGTCAAACTAATCACATATAGATACCTACCTAAAAGTGCGTGGGTGGCTAGTGGCTACACCCGTTTAATAATTAAATCGAATACGGCGGCATTAATCATTATTCGTATACTTTAACAACTAGTAGAATGTTGTACAGTAGGTATCTCATTCTTATATAATTCTTGGTTAAATATTTTTAATAGCTTACCAACTTTTATTTTATTTTAAATGATGGAACATACTGTCCAAAATATCGTTGTTATTTTTAATGGTTAAGGGTCAGCGCTAAATTAGAGTTGATTTCCAAATAGAATTAAAATAAAGTAATTTAGTTTTAATGCATTCTTAAGGATGATAAATCTTTTAAACTATTTATCAGTCTATTAAAATTTAATTTATGCAATTTTTTTCTAAATTTAACGATGTAGTATATAAAAATACTAGTTTTACCTGGGTCCTACTAATAAGTAATATATTAAAATATATTAAAAAATTTAGAACAATCCAAAACTAAGCATGAGTATCACTTATCACATAACCAACGATAGATTAGAATTAAGAAATATGTTTATACCAAATATAAGTTTATAGTTTATACTTTACCTCTACTCTCTCCTCTTTCAAATCGACGCGTAGAGCCAGCTGTTCTCTTAAGACGACATCTGGATAGTGTGTCTTGTCAAAGGTGCTCTCGAGTTGTTCCAGCTGCTCCTCAGTGAAAATGGTGCGATGTCGACGCTTGCGCTTGGGAGGAGGTCCCGCGAGCCCGGCCAGCGCGGCGGCTGCGTACCCGCCGTACAAGCCGGCGTAACCAGCAGCGCCTGCACTTCCCACGCTGCTTACCCCTGTGTTGGAAAAGAAACATAAAAATATTGATGTCATAGTACTATGATACGGTTGTAAATTTATGTATGTAACGGAAATACGCAACTTTAATTTATTAATCATAGGATATCCATCCAAAATATGAAAGCGCGGTGATGACCAATATTGTCAATGTAGAGGCTTTAAGTACACCGAACCGCTTGCCCAACTTATTGGGGATGCAAATTTTTCAATAATGCATGCCAGCTACCGTATTATCGGGAAGGCCTATTTCCAAAAGTAGGTTTTAAAAATGTTTTTAATGTGAAGTGATTTTATATTAGCGGACTTATCAAAACTTTGCATTGCATTACCGTATTAATTTTGTTGGGTAAAGCATATAATCTAATATGTTGGTATTAGAAATTATTGTCTTGGTTATTATTACAATTAGTAAGCTTAATGACTATTGTTATTTAGATAAACAGAAATTTCTAGTCAGGTTACCTATTACAATACCATTATAACGCTTTACAGACCTGATTTTACCAGCTAAAGCAGCAACATACTTAAAAGCACGTAAATAGAAAATTAACAGTTTTATTTTCGGTCCTGTAACACTTGCTACCAACTCAACGCCGTTCACAACGCATTAAAGTAGAGTTTTCAGACACTCAGGTGAAATATAAATTATCGTAAAACGTTACGTATGATTATCGTAGTCAGACGTCCGGATAAAGCCGGACACAGTCAGGCTTTTTGATTGCGTGTCCGGCCAAATTTGACGGTGTCCGGCTTTTGTTAGGCTTTTTAAAATTGACCATTTCTTTACATTTTTCATGTACTTATAAACATACATACATATAACAGCTGAATCTGAATGACAGGGTAAGAAATTGTGTAATAAGAGAAGAGTGTGGTTTGCAAGATGATGTTGTGACCAGGATTAAGAAAGGAATGTTTCGGTGGTTTATGCAGATGGAAAGAATGAATGAGGAAAGAGTGACAAAGAAAATTTATGTTGCAGAAGTGAATGGCAGAGTCGGAAAGGGACGTCCTAGGCGAAAATTTAGCGACCAAATTGGCGATTTATTGAAAACGGGCCAAATTAGGAGTACCCTTAACCGACGAGCATGTATGCGTAGGTGTATGGATGTGAAGGAGGCGAGAGAGGTGTGTCAGGATCGTGCCAAATGGAAGTCTGTAGCCTCTGCCTACCCCTCTGGGTGACAGGCGTGAGTGTTTATGTTTTTTTATGTTTTATATTATAAACATAGTACATACATAGTATTGCTATTATTGAAATTATTATTATAATTAATATTGAATTATTCATATAGAAGACTAATTTATTCAATTGTTGTTATTTCGTTAAAATTTAAGAAGATTTTAAAGTAAATCATAAAAATCATTGTTTTATTTAAAAAAAAATGTCTTTTACTAAGACAAAATCATAAGGGTGTCCGGTCTTTTTACTAAAATGTCCGGCTAAGCTCGCTGGTCTGTCCGGCTTTTCGGTTTTAAGATCTGGCCGTCCTACGTATGATATGTAATGTACCTATGGGTAATTTTTTCAAGAAATATACGTCAACTGGCGAATTATGTGAAAAAAGAGGCACGGCGACTGGGAATGCTTTTTATTGTTTACCAACACTATTAGGTATAGTAATATAAAAAGGGAATTAATTATTGATCATATTCTATTATACAAGCAACATATATATATATATATATATATATATATATATATATTTTTTTTTTTTTTTTTTTTTTTTTTTTAAATAACGTGTCACGTTGTTTGTCCGCGATGGACCCCTAAACTCCTTAACCGATTTTAATCAAATTTGCACACCGTGTGCAGTTTGGTCCAACTTGAGAGATAGGATAGTTTTTTTGCTCTTGAGTGACTCACAACTTTTGTTTTGCGAAGTTAAGGATTTTTAATAGGACATGACAGACTCGTCGAAAAGGACAGAACAACGTCTGCCTGGCAAGCTGTATATGTATATATACACACGTTTTTTTCATACTTTACACCTAACTCAACGTACCTATATTGTATTTAGCAGTTATCAGGAAACTCATCTCCTGGTTCAGTTTCCCTCTGTTGACTCTTACGTTACCCACGGGATAATATAAGGTAGTGGATCTTACACTGCCGTTACACGTATCAATTTCAATGTATGTAAACCACGTTAAAGAATATTTTACACTTTTTATTTAAAATTCCAAATTTATTGCGTATTTTTATACTACGAGGGCGGCACTAAAAATTTCTGGAATCAAGGAAGTGACACAATATTACTATTTAAAAATGTACTTATTGCTTTTCAAAGTATTCTCCGCGAAATTTGACACATTTTTCCATACGATGGAACCAATCATTGAAGCAATCATTCCATTCGGAAGTTGGGGTCTCCAAAATGGCCGTTTTGTAGGCTTCCACAGTTTCTTCAGGTGATGAAAATCTCTGTCCACGTAATTTATTCTTTATTTTAGGGAAAGTATAGAAATCATTATGGCTTAGGTCGGAGCTGTACGGCGGATGGTCTAATAATTCTATGTTTTATTGCTCTAAAAACTCTTTTGTTCTGTGTGCGTGTGAGAACTCGGATTGTCGTGATGGAGGATGATGCGGCGGTTGCAGTTCTCTTTACGACGTTCAGAAACGACCTGTGGCAAACAAATGCTAGCATACCATTCTGCATTAACCGTTCTTTGTCCCTCAAGAGGAATAGTCGTAACATGGCCGGTTTTGGAGACAAACGTGGCCACCATTTTTTTTGCAACACTCCGTGTTCGAACAATTTTTGTTGGCTTTAACTCATTTTCGAACACCCAAACTCGTGACTGGTTTTTTGTTTCGAGTTCGTACGCATATATATCCAGGATTCGTCACCTGATACGATGTTGTATACAGCATTTGAGGATCCTACGTGGAATCTTTCGAGAGTTCTGACGCACCAAGTAACGCGAGCCGCTTTTTGCTCTTCACAGAGCGAATGCGGTATCCATCGGGAAAACAACTTTTTTACACCTAATTGTTCATGCAAGATTATTTGTATTTGACTCATGCCAATGTCTAAAGTTGCCTGAATTTCGCGGTATGTCACATGTCGATCTTCCTCAATCAGCTTACGCACAGCATCAACGTTTTCTTTGGTGACTGCAGTTTTTGGACGACCTTGACGGGGATCATCACTGAGCTTGACACGTCCACGTTGAAATTCAGCAAAATAGCGATAAATTGTGGTTTTAGATGGGGCTTCATCACCAAATGTAGAAATCATCCGGTCAACACACTGTTTGTGTGTTAAACCACTTCGAAAGTCATAATAATTCATCGCTCTTGAATTTTCTCGAGTCAATTCCATTTTCTCAACGACTGAACAAGTTTGACAAAACCTTGTGACAAGACTGAGAATCTTTTTTTTAAATAAATAAATGGTATTCGATTTTTTAAAACCAATGAGTTTTCAATTAAAAAGATTTTAATATGACAGGAACAGTGGAAATATTCCATTCCCGATACTTTTAGTGCAGCCTAGGTATATTTATTTCTAAAGAAAAAGATTCTAAAGTCTTTTTAAGACTTAAACTAACTGCAACGTGTAATGAACCGACAAAGGAATCTAAATCCTCTCTTGTTGCTAAAAAAATTACAGCTGACTTACACAAGTTTGATAATTAAAAAATATTTTTGTGACGTCAGTGCAGCCGACTTCGAGCTCCAAGCAGTAATAAGTAGCAGTTGAATATATTGCGTTGTCATCTAGCTCTGAGCCATGTTTAAAGTTACTTGTCTCTAGCACGTCGGAAAGTTAGTTTAAAATCAACTGTAAAATCCATACTGAACCGACAGACAACGAACTCGGGGAGTTAATAACGAAATGTGATAAATTTGATGAAAAATGCAAATTATTGTTCAAATACGTGACAAATAAAAAACCAAAATATTTATGCAATCTCATACGAATATAATTTTGACCTTACTTACATGATATAAGCCGCGTCGGTGCTACAGCTGTCGAACCGCCGACTGTACCAAGAATTATACAAAAAAAATTAACACTAATAAAACAGAAACGTAATGTCTTAAAACTGTGGTAATACGCAAACATTATTTTAATATCGTCGTAATATTTCTAACAATATTAACTCCTAAGCTTTTGTGGTGTTAAAATATGGACATAGAACTTGTATAACATGAACACGTCATCGTCTATAAGAATTAGCATTCGGTAAGAGAACCGAAGCGTAAATATCCTGAGCTTAAAGCCCCGAGAGCGACCCTCGCATAGATCCGATGGAAATATTAATGCTACAAATAAAAATTGAATATTTTTGCATACACTTCTACCGTGGGGATATTACATTGTATTATTTCCGAAAGAAATATAAAAGCTTTTAAGGCCGGCGGCGTATCGCTAAGGAGCTATCGGTAGCTTTCCGCTCATCATACAACCGCATTTACTTTCGCTCCCGACCTCCTAAGCTGTATTGATTTTCAAAGTATGTTTGTATTTCAGTGCATTTTCTTTAAAAAAAGGTATAACTGACCAATAAATATGATTTCTTTATTCGCATATTATAGACATTTTAATAAATTACGTAAAATTGTTTAACAATAAAAAATATTTAAAAAATCAGTCTGTAAACTTTTCTTTAAATTGATGTTTTGCAGCTTCGACGATCTCCAGACTAATTAATAGGTCTGGCACACATAAGAAACTCTATTTTTTCCAATAAAAACTACTTATAAATTATTACCATTTTATCAAAATACCAAAACGTGTTCATTTAAAAATAAAAATTTTGTCCCTACATATTTTTCAGAATATATTAAAGAGTAGTTGCATATTATTATTTTATAATTAAATATTTATTATAAGCAACTTTTGAAAATAACATTCGTCGTGTACAAAACAAGAGCTTATTTTTCTAACAAAACAAGAAAGACTTAAAATGTCCTACCATAAGAGTAAAAAAAAGTTTAATTGGGATAAATCCTGTCTTCACCCCTCGAATCCCTAAACGCGGCGTTAGGGATAGCCGAAGGCTACAAGACCGTCCGATGCTCTTAGTAAGTAAAGTAAGTCAATAGCCACAGCATTAAAGATTCAACGGCTTGAAACACTCAATATTAAATCATAATTTTATTGCGCCTAGAATTTGTCAAGTAAGAGAAGTGTAGAAAAACCGAAATGTTCTTTTTGGTGAACAAAAAAAAAATATCGAAAATAATGTAACCTCCTGGCAATGTTCAATTAAAAGCATTCTCTACTACCGTGTACCGTTCCGTTCTCTCTTCATAAAAATTTTGGTGGTAAGATTAAATAACGTAAAGTTCAGTTGCAGCCTATATACGAGTACGTCCCACTTTGAGTACTCTCGTTTCTGAGAGAATTATTTTTTAATTAAAATTGGTCACTCAAAGCTATAAAAAAAAAACATAAAACTACACACTCGGGCTTCGTGCATCAATCAATATTCCACATACGTGTATTTAACATGGATGTAGGAGGAGGTGACCGAAAACCATGCATGCCTTTGCCTGTAGTAACAGAAATAGTTTTTTTTTTAAATTAATTAAAATAAGATTACAAGAATTGAAATTCATATATGCTATCACAAATGCTATATGCTATATACAAAAAGGAAGATTTTTTCGAACTACCATTGCACTGGTTCGGTAAAAACCTTTGACCTGGGAACAGCCGGCTACTAATTCTCCGGAGTATTTTTTCTGCCTTTTTTACGGGGAACAGTCTACGCATATTCGCCTTGCGGGGGCAAGAATATATTATCTTGGACACGCAACGACTAAAACCTAAACGGTGTTGAATCTTTGCGGCATATTGTATGGGCCAAGGGTAAGCTTTCGCACACTCTCTCAACTCTCCCTCTATTATTCACCTCAGGCAAGACGCGCCTAAAGAACGTGAACATAATTATTGTCTATTATTTTTTTAAGTTTTATACAGATTTTTCATTAGGTATTTAGTGCGAGTTTTTACTTACATAAGATTAGTTTGGTATACGAGTGGCTTAATGATGAATAAGGGACTGTTTACGAATTTAAAAGTTAGTTCATTGTTTTACTCGTATATTACATGTCGGTACAGTCCTCAAACTGTCTCCGTGGTCTAGTATCTGATCATGAGGTCCCGGGTTCAAATCCCGGGTTGGACCAAAATAAGTTATTGAAGTTTTTCAGTAGCAGCCAGAAGTCAGAAAGTTGGTAATTTCACCCTCGTGCCTCGGAAAGCAAGTAGTTGCTCCGCCTGATCTCTTTGTGGTCGTGTCTTTTTTCGATCCTGTCGAACTATGAGAAAATTCGATCTTGTCGAATAGAGAGTGCATCTGTGCTTGCGTATACACTCGTGTACTATAATCCTGTCCTGCGCAGATGGCTAGACTCCTTTAAGGCCGACCGCAATGACCGAAATTCGGTCTGGAGCACATTATTATTCCTAATTCTCAAAGGTGACAGCGCCTTTGTTGCCTGTTGTGTGGTATTGCATCAATAGACAGATTTTCCGTGTAGTGGCGGTGTAAGATTATCCACTGCCCATATCATCCCGTGGGTGTCGTAAGAGGCGACAGAGGGAACCAATCAGGAGATGGGCAGCGACGTCTTCCTAACAACAACTATAAATATGAAACTGCGGTGTAGAATCCCCCCCCCCTCCCATGTGGTGGTATGAGGGAGGCCTATGTCCAGCAGTGGACTTTAATAGGCCGTAGCGAAGTAACGGCAACAACAAATGAGCTGCAGCACTTTTTTGATAACAGCTCAAAATAATGAAAAAACTACGGTTGTCTGCTAAGCGTGGCATCCAAGACAAATATACCGCATCAGGTAATGCATGTGAGTGTAATGATGATGCATACGAGTGTCTACGTTCAGCTTTTGATAGGCTGGATGATGATAATGATGTTGTTGTTGTTGTTGTTGTTATGCACCTATGGACAGCGGTAGCTTCTTAAAATCTATTGGCTTGTTATTTACTCTAAAAGTAATAAGATAAGTCATAATTAGCTTTTTTAAGATGTGGTAAAATTATATTTGTAGAGTTTTTGAACTTTTTGAAATGTCAATTTGTGGTTAGGGAATGCAATCTCGTTCGAGAACGAGATCTCGCGAGATCTCGGCCTTTTTTAGCGAAATTGATCTTGGACGAAACAAGGGCGAGATCTCGCGAGTTTAACGAGATTGCACTCGGGCATAAACACTTCTTATTCGAAGCGCAGACTGATGGAGTTGCGATCTGTCGGTTATCTGGCCAACAAAATAAGAAGCCTTCTTCAAAATAATTCGTAATAATGGTTTGTGATTTGAATTGAACAAATCTTTTTTTAATTTGATTGGTATATTTTGTTAATTATTCTGTAATATCTAATAGATCTACTGAGTATATATAGTTTTATTTATTTTGATAAAAATATCTCAGTTTAATAGTCAACTCAACTTAGATAATTTAGTTTAGATTCATTTTTTTAACTTCTCGTTGTTTAGTTTGTTATAAAAGAACTGTTTAATTTACTAAAAGATCTTGATATTAAACGAGAAGGCTGGTTGTTTCTTTCATATGTTATTTTATAGATAAGTATGTCAAAGTTTACTACTTAGAAGTTTATTAAAAAATTATAGACCGATACGTCAAACAATGTTTGATGCATAAAATTCTATTGAAAAAATTCGTTAAAATAAATGTTTATCTTATAATACTTATAATTTTTATTATTTTTTCCTAATTTATTCATGTATTGTGATTATTTGTAAATAAAACACACAAAACTGCCAATATCGCGAGATCCAGAAATTGGCGAGATCTCGCAGTATTGTTATTCATAAACTCGTGGGATTCGCTTGGGCCTTAATCTCGCGAGATTTGCATTCCCTATTTGGGAATTTTTGTGTTCTTATTACAAAATAGCGATTCAAGTTTGACTATAAAATGTTGATATAATAAAATAAAATACAATTTTATATTTACATAGATATATCTATCAGTTTTGGTTTTGTACTATATAGCTTTTATATCACAATTTAAAAATTTAAACGAAAGTTTTTCTCTTTAGAAAATTCACTTTTCACGTGGTCTGACGTGGATCTATCGTATGAACTAAGTAAAAACCAAAACCCAAAACCAAGATTCACGCTGTTAGAGCACATCCAAAACCGCTAGACGTAGAAATACGAAATTAGGACAGTAGCTGCCTTTTATGACGTAGGTATCCACTAAGAAAATATTTTGTAAAATTCAGGCCCTAAGGGAGTAAAATAGGGCGTTACAGTTTTTATGAAACTTTTTATTTTACAGGGCGATTGACTCGAAACTTACTAACTTACTCTTTAAATAAAGTAAATGAATTCGGATTTAGTGATTTTTAAAAAAAAACCCTTTACGAGTTTGAAAAAAAAATTTAATTTAAAATTTAATTCATATACTTTGGAATTAAAAATAACAAAATTTACATTTTTTAATTCTTCTAAAATATGATTATATTTGGTCTTAAAAATATGGGTGTAATTTGTATGAAATCTATTGCATTAAATCGAAAATGTAGAATAAATGCAGTCGCTAAGGAGTATGTTATGGCTGAATCTAAACGACAGGATGAGAAATTGTGTGATAAAAGGAGAGTGTAGTTTGCAAGATAATATTGGGACCAGAATCAAGAAACAAATGCTTCGGTAGTTTGGTCGTGTAGAAATAATAAACGAGAAAAAAGTAACATTGCAGAAGAGAACGACAGAGCCGAGAAGGGACGCCCTAGACGAAAGTATTTCGACCAAATTGGCGATATATTGAAGATAGGCCAGATTAAGAGTACTAATCGACAAGCATGTATGCGTAAGTATATGATGTAATAATAGTATATGATGTGAAGTGTGATAAAGATAAAGGAGGCGAAAGAGGTGAGGTAGCGTTGCGCCGAATGCTAGTCCGTAGTATTTGCCTACCTACTACTACCAATACCACTACTACCACTACTCTAGGTGACAGGCGTAATTGTTTATATGATTTTTAT